CTACCTGTAATAACACTCAACGGTATTCACTTTGAGTTTTTAAATATAAATTTTTATTAAATTTCTTTGATTTTGTTTGAATTCTTGCTTGATTTTTTTTTTAAAATTAACGATTTTAATTGGCTGATTTGCATGTGACAATTACTCAACATTCGTGTAACCATTGTCCATATTTGGGACGTTCTCCCCTGTTCATTTTCTGATCAGATGTTTCTGAAGGAAATTATGGTAGCTAAAAATTAATTCTGTATGATTTTAACTTTTGCGGTGTTAACATTTGTAACGATTAATGATGTCGATGTTCACTAGTAATAGGGAAATGCGCATTTTATAATAACATGTGCATAATATCACATGATATAATTTTTAGTCTATATCAGATGTGTGCTCAAATTTTTACCCTGATCTTGCTCTTCTTTCGAGACTTTTGCATCAGTATCCTTAATTCCGCCTGATAATACGTTCCCTGGCCTATATTATATACAGTTGCACCCCTAAATACACAGTATATGCATTTCTACAGGTAGGACCGTCCCAAATATGGAACTATGATTTGACTCAGGACTGCTGATCACGTTATCGATTCGACCAATCAAATCGTGAATTATAAAAAATTAAAATTAACGCAAATTTAATTAATAATAAAATTTATATCAAAAGTTCAATTTAATCCTAATAATACGTATCATAGAGTAAAAATTCATTAAATAATAAAAATGTCTTTATTAGCTTGCGTCATATATTGTCCAATTTACTAACCATTATCTATATCATACCTAAAAAAATCTATATATATATTCATTTCTATATTCAATCTTACAGTATATGCTTCTACGTCTAATTCTAATATAAATATATAACTTTAATACAGATAAACAAACTATACCACCATTATTATATTAAAAAAAAATATTCCACATTCTAATACATATGTTATATCGGTATATATATTCTATTATTTAAATGACTATAAAATTATTATTAAAAAAAAGTAGTTAGTTAAACCGTAATATATGTAGATCTTATTAAAACTCTTTAGAGAGCTTATTCAATAACAATAAAATGTCAATTTTTTTCTTATTTTTGCTAAATTGTTATCTTTGTTACTTCATTTTACCCTGTTCTTTTTGTTGCTCAAATGTAAGATTTCACCAATTTAGCTTATATAAATACCTTTTTATATACTAACTTAGTTGAATAAATTGAATAGGAAAGGCGGTAGATTCAGAAGGATTCAGTGAATATGTTATAGGGCAGCATGAAAGCTTCAAACTTGCTTAGAGCACTTTACATGGTTAAAAGAAGAAATAATTTACCCAGGCTTCCAAAAAAAGTACTGTAAAATATATAAAAAAATTTTTTATCAATTAGATTGCCTGTGTAACATGAACGGTCCTACCTTGAGCACATTTCTTACTAGAGCTGATATAATATATAGTATATTGGTATAATACAATATTGAATATTCATTTCTTAACTCTTTAAATAATTAATAAAATTTTTATAATTTTTATAATTTTTGTTTATTTATTTTTTTATACATAATTTTTAATAAGTTTTGGCAATATTTATCTGTATATTTATCTTTTATTAGTTTGTTATCTTTTGCAGTTTTATCAATTTTGTTATCTTTTACCATCTTAGATACTTCATATTTATTTATTATTGATTTTATTTTTTATTTACTTTTTATTTATTATTAATTTTATTCTTTATTTTTTATTTATTTTATTTATTATTTATTTATTATTTTATTTTTTTTATAAAAACAATAGTTATGAATTAGTATTTGTATATGTTTTGCATTAATTAAAAATTTATTAAAACATAAATAAGACAAGTATAGAAATTTTTTAGTTATTTTTTATATATATTATAAGACAACTACAGAACAACTACCAATAAAATTTTAATTAAAACTAAGATTATAGATTATATTTCTATACAAAGAATATTTTTATCTTCTTTAATAAATATTATAAAACTCATTTTTAAATATTATAATTCTTATAACTTGTAATCAAATGTAATTTGAAATCTGTTATAAATCTATATATTAGTTAAATATAGTTGTATTAAAATAATACATATTTATATTTACATATTTATAAAAAAAACTAAAATAATAGACATTAATCAACAGTATTATATAGTATTTTATATTAGTATAGCATAGTTAAATACCCTTTTAACAAGTTTATTAATCCAAATATAAAAATATAAAATTGTTGGGTTAATTTGTTGTGTTCTATAATTGTAATACTGAATACAATAGTTTGTTAAAAATTACTGTGTTAAATTATTGATAAAAATTGTTTGTTAACTTGTGTTGAATTATTGTAATACTAAGTTATTTTTTATTAGCAGATTCTAAGTTAATTAATGCATATTGCTTCATATTAAATTATTATTAATTATATACAGAACTATACTACATAAAATAAACTGTAATTTTTAATAAAAAGACACAAAGTTTTGTTTTGATTTTGTTTGTTTTTAAAAAAAACGTCTTAATATTTTATTTATAAAAAACTTTTTAATATTTTGTCATAACAATTACTATGTCTTTATCTATTACTTTATTAAAGTCCCCAAAAGAATTTTATATAAAAAAGAATCACTGCTATAAAAAAATCAAAATCAAAAACCTAATTCAATTATTAAAGAGGATGATTCTATATCTAATTCTAGTACCAACTAGAATAAAAAAAAACAAATATAGTTTATAATTCTCTAAAAGTATGTAATTATATTTACTTTATAGTTTTAAAATATTTTATAAATTATATATATAGTATTTGGCATATATTAATACCTATTTTTTTCTAGTATAAAACTCAATCTAAAACTTATAAATTAACTAAAAAAGAGGCTCAATAATATATTTTATCCTAGTAAATTTCTGAAGATTTTCTTGCTAGTAACCTTAAACCAAATAATCTAAAATTAATCATTTATACAAATTCCCAGTTCATTTTTTTAGAAAAATTTCTTGAAAAAATATAGCAAAGATTGGTTGTTCAGAAGTTATTTAGCCAAAGACTACTTTTGTTAAATAATATAAAGACTGGTACTTATCTCTTTAATTTTAGAGTGCTTACTTAAAACCAACTTAGTATAATTTCAGATATTGTTCAAAAAAATTATATTAGAATAGTCATAATAATAGCAAGAAAACTTTAACATTACAAGGTACTCAGTCAACCCCAACTACTACCACTGAAGTGTTTATGAAATTTGTAAATTTATTAGAGTCAGAAATTTTTAACAATGAAGGTATTAATAAGAAATATATTATAGAATAAGTTTGCCCTTTGGTTATGTTTTGCAGATAGTCTAAATCTTGTTAAAAAATTCTACTATCATTGCCATTGCCTCTGGTCTAAAGTGAATAATATGTATCAATATATTAAAGCCCAAGATATATTATATAATATTCAAAAAACACTTCTATGGTATCCAGACTTAGAGATATTAAATATTTGATTCAGTCCAAAAGTTGAGTTTTAAATTTGACTTGGTTCTGAGTCAGACTTGGGACTGACTTGTTATTTCATGTGATATTTGATCATAGCACATAATATTACCAATAGTATTCTAGTATTCAACTTAAGTTAATCTATTAGCCCTTATTTACTATAACGGGAGTGATTTGTGTATAACACTGCACATGACTATTAGAACTTGATCCTAAAAGGTTCCTCAAGTCTAGAATCAACTCAAAAAAGTTCAGTTCAAGTCAACTCAAAAGACTGACTCAAACCAAACTTTTAACATCCCTATAACAGATAGACTTTGTCATGTAAAATTGTTGATCAAACACTCAGTAAAAACATAATGTCTTCTGCTTCGCTCCGGACAATAATTGCTATTTAATATTTCAGATCAAGTTTTTACTTGATTACCAAGCATTAAAAACTATAATTTTAATTAATTTTAACTAGTAACTAGTTAAAAACCCATGCAATAATGCGTGAGAATAAATTTTTATAATTTAGAATAAATAATAAAATTTAAAACTAATTACATTATAATTATATTTAACTATTTAATCTAATTTATTTAATTATTAATATGTAAAAAGAGTTGTTAATTTTTTATAACTATGTTGCTATATTAAATTATAAAATATAAAATAATTTATAAATAAAATTGAAAATATAAATAAAATTATTAAACACATCATAATAGTGACTTATAATTGACTAATTAAAAAGTAATTATATACCAAAAAAAAAATAATAAATAAAAATAAATTAAAAATAAATTAAAAAAATTTAAAAAAATTTAAAAAAAAAATACAAAAAAAAAAATACAAAAAAATACTATACAAATCAACTATTATGCTATTTCCCTGTTATGGCTCATACTAACTATCATGCTAGGTGCTATACTATTTTGCTATGCCCCAAACTATTATCATATTTGATATTAATTATCATACTGTCCCATATTAACTATTATATTATGCTTATTCTAATTATTGTGCTATATTCTATACTACTATTGTACTACTATTTGGCTAAAGTATAAAATAATGGGAATGATGAGTATATTAAATTTAATAATCACAAAATTTAATCACATTATACAATAATTTTCTAGATTTATAAACTAATTATTCAGATAAGCAGTTGTACATAATGCTTCAATAAATGCATTCCATAAATCATTTTTGTGTTTTTTTGCGCCAAATATATTCAAATAAATGATTTTTAATTAAATCTTTATATCTATTACGTGGAGCAATTTGTAATTTAACACCATTCCAAACTCCTTCAATTGTATTTGTGTTTACACCAGTAACAGGATCAGTAAACCATTTAGAATGATTTGCGGTTTTATGTTTAACATTTAACTCATCTTCAATACCGTTATATCCACCCTAGCAATCTATTAATAAAAAAAATGATAAATAATAAAATTAAATAATTTTTAGTTTTTTTTCTAATTACCTGTATAGATTATTAATTCTGGTTCAATATATTCCTTTAAAATTTTTTGAATTGTTTCAATATTTCTTTTTTTTATCATAATCAAAAAACATCTTTTTTCTTTAATGATTTCAATACCACCAATAACCCAAACTCTATTAACTCGTCTTCCATGATTATACTTTCTCTTACTAAATTTAGATTCATTAATTTGTACAATTACATCTTTACCTCCTATTTTATTTGGTTTATCCTTTAAAGTATCAATTACTAACTCACGTAAAAAATTTATATAACTTGTTATTGTATTAGGAGAATGACCTGTTATTCTTTTAATTGAACTAATTGAACTTTTTGCTAACCAAAAATACACAATAAACAAAGTATCATTACATTTTATATAATTATTAGAAAAAAATGAATTTTTAAATATAGAAACAGATTTTCAACATTTTGAATACCGAAATCTTTTCTGTTCTTTAAAAACTTTAGAATTATATTTAAAGCAATGTTTTGGTTTTTCTAAAATATTTTCATCAAATAAAAATTTAATAGATTTATCTTCATTTAAAAAAATATCTAATAATAATTTAATTTTAGAAAAATTAGACATTGTTATTTTTATTTAAAAAATTTATTTTATTATTTATTTCATAGATATTAATAATTTATTATAAATATTAATTTAAAACAAACAAAGTAGATAAATTTAAGTATAAAAATAATTAACAGCTAGATTATATTCCTCTTTGTTACAATAATCAAATACATATTCAGTTCTAATATGTTTAATTAAAGTATTTTCATAAAAAATAAAATAACACCCTGTATTTTTCTTATTTTGATTTAATTCAAAACAAAATCTACTATTAATCTCTTGTCGTTTAATATTCAAAAAATATTCATTATTTTTATCGATATTTTTTTTATTAAAATTAAATTCAAAATCTACTTCATTAATAAATTTACATGTATATCTTTTATCTAAATTAATAATTTCATTATCTAAAGTTAAATAAATATATATGTTATTTTTTCATCAAAAAAATCCTTAATTTTACATTGATTAACTATAAATTCAGTTATTTTCTTATTATTAAAATAAAGTTTTGCATTTCTTAATGGAAATAAAAAAGATTCTGATCTATTCTTCTTTAAAACCTTTGGACAAGAATAATAGTCCTTTGTAAAGGAATTATCAAAAAGATGTAGTTCAAATCCTTTTAAAGAACAAGGTTTATCTTCATATAATATTCTTAAATAATTTCAAGAAAATTTTTTAACTTCTTCGAAAATAAATAAAAATTTTTTATTTTCAATTTCAGAATATTTTTCAATATCAACCATAATTATAGATAATATCACTCAATTATTGTAATAAATTTTTATAAATAGCACACTTTTATATAAAAATAATTAAAAATAAATTCAAATTATATTAAATCATCACATTAAAAAATTTTATATATCATAACAGTACTGGATAAAATAATTTGGATTTGTAATTACTTTCACCAAATGCTTGATAAATTTGATAGATATTTTTTGAAAACTGTTTAATATTATTTATTATATTATTAATTAATTTATTAAATTAATTGTTTTTAAATTATAGATAGAAATAAAAAAGGCAATAAATAGTAAAGTCATAAGTGAAATACTTATAGAATCATGTTATTTGGTAAATAATAATACTTAAATTAAATATAAATAAAATATTATTAATAATTTATCAATAATATAGAATCAGTTTATGGTGAAATGATAACAACTTTAATTGATGTTTGTAGATTTTTAGCCATAGCATCTAGACTAATGAAAACTTCTTCAGAAATTAGTACAGATATTAATATTTTGTTTATAAAATTAGCAAAAAAAGGAGAAACTTTATTAATAATAAGTTTTTTAATTAATTAATAAATAAATAATTATAATTAATAATTTATTATATTTAGATCACAGAATATATAAATCTTAATGTAAAGGTGTGGCGACTTAGTGTAGTAGTCTAGTTGTCACCCTCTCCAAGTGGCAGGTCTGGAGTTCGAATCCCACAGACAACGAATTTTAAAAAATAGGCTTGCGTTATAGTTGATGGTTATAATTATCAGTTGGATCTTAGATAAATTTGTAACTTCGGTCACACCGGCTAGTAATGTGAGCAATGACGCAATAAAGCTGAGAAACCGGAATAACTGAAAACCCATTTGGGAAGTCCCGAGCTATGGAATAGCAATGATCATGACGATACTATATGAGGGCTAAATTCGAACTGGGGCCCGAGATCAGGAAACTGAACGACCAGGTCCTAATGGCAGAGGACACACTAGCCAAACCGCCGGGTTCTGTTGTACCGGAGAAAAAGGGCATATGCTTTGAAAGTATGTACCAAGGAGAGGACATTCTATAGACACCTAAAGCCTGGACAGACTAACCCTTCTGAGTTGCCGGCTAGAAGTAAGAGAGGGACCGATAAAGAATCTGGGTAAGAAGATGGTACCAAATGCGAGTATCGAGATTGTTGTGAACCTTAATAAGGGCAAGAAGTAGGTAATACAAGGGGTTCAATGGTTAGCCCTAACTATACATACCGACGAAATAATAATTCAAAAGACAAAACCCGATTTATTTTTATTTGAAGACAAAATTGAATTACAGAATCCGAAATAGACCCCGAAACCCGAAATAACCCTGAAATTCAAAGTAGACCCGAAACAAAAAAAAAAATAAAAAAAACTATATAGTAATTATAATTTTTTGTATAATAATTTAGAAATCGTCAACTGGAATATGAACCATTATATGCTTTGGAATTAAGCATTATTTTGTATAGCTGACTTTTGATTCCTTATACTCAACTTTTCCCACATTATTCTTGGTTTTATAATATTTAACGTTGGATATTTCATTAGCATTTTTCATATCAAGAAATTTTGAGAATCTATAAAAGCTTTATAATCGTTGTGTTGGTTACCAGTTCCACTTTGATAACAATCACTAACTTCATATGCTATAGCATAACCCAACTTTGCCCTTCGTTGATAATTGATAGATACCTTATTTTCAACCTTTTCAATTTCATTTTCATTTTGATGGCCTTCGCTTATAATTTCATAATTAGTATTATATGCTTTACTTATATGATCTAGAGCTGACCCCAAACTTTTGTATTTTTTAGTAGAATGTCTATTTCGCTATATAAAGTTTTATTTTAATCTACTACATTTATAGTAACTAATAAACAATTCGGCACTTAAAGACTCTTGTAGCGATATAAATAATTCAGACAGATCTATGTTAAAGATTCATCACGATTTGTATGATGATTGTCCAGTTCAATTTATTTACAAACCATTGTGGATACATAAGCGATTTGAACAAAATCATGTTAGTTTTGTATTGAAGTGTCATAAAAAGTTCTGCTATTATACTTACCGGTGATTACATTATGATTAAGTGATTTAGACAGAGATATACAGTTTATTGTAAAAAAAAAATAAAATAAAAGTAAATAAATAAAAATAAAAAATTATTTATTTACCTGATATTTTTCTTCTAAAAACAGTACACGCCCCAAACTTTATAATAAATATGGTTGACAAGCCCAATGCATTATAAAAACTGCTAAATTTAAACATTAAGCCCAGGTCTTCTACTACTAAGATTCAAATTAAAAAGTTAAAAGCAAAAGTTTATCTAAATCTAGCATAGTAAAATAGCTTTGGACGAAAACGTTTCCAGTTACCTTTTACTTTGTCTTCTAAGTAAAGTTCTCAGGTTATTGATTATTTTGATTATTTTTAAATGTTTTTGTATAGTGAATATAAACGTTCTTTATTAGTGAAACATTATATTTCCAAAGGTACATATTTCCTTAGAGTATTTCAAATACTAATTAGTCAAAATTATGTAAGAGTGCAGTAATAATGATACTACTATTAGATTTTATGCATAAAATTAATCGACAAAATTGAGATGTCTTTACTAGTAAATTACTATCAAAAAAAGCATTCAAAAAATTGCATCAATTTGTATAATAGTGATTTTTTTCTGGTAATTTTTGTAGCAAACAATTGCTATAATGTAACCCGAAGAAGTTACAATTTAAAAATTTTAATTAATCAACCATTTTAAACTATTACATTAGTAGGACTTTTTTTCTTTGTTTTACTATATATGCTTTAGTCAAAAGATATATGTTTATTACAAATTGGCCTTAATAACCAAAAATTTAAGATAGTAATTGTATAAAGAAACATTTCATCATATTGTATATAAAGTTTTATTGTAAGATTTTGTGATGGTTTTAATGCTGATACTCTTTAAAATTAGCTTTTGTTATTATATATATGTTATGACCAAAAAAATCGTGAGAATTTGTTGTGAATTGGCTTTGCTAAATAAAAATTTAAAACTGTAATTGTGTAAAGAACGTTTCATCATGTTGTATATAAAGTTTTATTGTAAACTTTTGTGATGGTTTTAATGTTAATGCTCTTTAAGATCGCTTTTGTTATCATGACAAAAATTCGTGAGCATTTGTTACGAATTGGCTTTGTTAATAAATGTTAAAACTAATCATTAAGAGAAGTTTTCATCATATTTAATTGAAAATTTGGTGATAATTTTAATGCTAAATCATTTTAAGATTCAGCTTTTGTTTCAGTTAGGTGTTTAACTAAAAAAACATGCACATTTGTTTCGAATTGGCTTTTGTCAAAAAAAATTTAAAAATGTAGCGAGAATAACTTTTCGCATATCATCGTTTTATAGTTTTTCGCATATTATCATTTTATAGTTCCACATATCATTATTTTCGTATATCATCATTTAAGCAAAATTTTTTTTTTGACCCAATATGCTACATGTTTCTAAACGCAGAGTGCAATTAAAAGATGCACATAAATCATTAGCCAAAAAGCGCGAGATAAATCAGCGCAAAAAGTTTATTAGTGAAATAGTAAAGTACTTGAAAAAATTACTATACCCGAATTTAAAATAATACACAATGAGATTTTTAATAACTCAAATATTAATACACCCACATATAATACAATCGTTCATGCTCTTAACGTTATGCCTGATACAGATCTTAAATCAACATCTCATCTTTTACGTACTATGAGATATTCACACGGAAAGAATCAAGA